CGGGTGGGCGTCCGGGTGGGTTTCTCCTCTCCCTGCTTTGTTTCTCAGCTGTTTTTCACCGCTGTCAAAACTGCACAGCCCCAGGGGAGATGTTGAACATGGAGGGGTCGAACTTCTGGCCGCGGAAAGGGGAGCCCTCGGTGTCCCAGCCCTTCTTCAGCATCTCATGCACCTTCTGCAAAGAGGCCACAGGCTCCCGTCAGGCTGGGGCTGGCCCCACACCTTTGCCCGTGAAAAAAAAAGCTGAGGGTACGTGCTCATCCTGCAGACGTCAGGGCTGCAAGGCCACCCGACGCATCGAAGGGGGTTGTGGGGCTCAGCAACAGCACCCCTCTGCCCTGGATGATGGCAGCATCGATTTCCAAGGGCACACAACCATCTCTGTGCTTCACCCACTCTCATCTGCTCAGGAAAGGGTAGATGACGCACGGGGCTGGGACGGAGCGATGGGCAGCAAAAGGCGGCACCTTGGTTGGGCCAAACCCAGATCTGCGTGGGCTCATCCCAGAGGCAGAGGGGAGAGGGAAGCGCTGGCTCTGGAGAGAGGCGCACGCATATGGGGCCCATCACCAGCGCAAGGGCATCTGGGCTCACAGGCATTTGCCAAGGTGCCAGGAAGGGGAAGATGGGAGCGCGCGGGCAAAAGACAGGGACTAGCAGAACCTCACATCCCCAAAATGGAGATGCACGTGGACGCTGTGTGAGGAAGAGCTCCGAGATGGAGCAGAGCCATGGAGCTGCCCCACGCCGCACCCTTTTACCGAAGATGGGACCCAGAGAGCACGTGGCAGGGCAGGGCTGCGCTGGCAAAACCTCCCAGCTCTTGGGTCTGGGGCTTGCCCTGCAGCTTCTGGTGGTAGTCAAAGGTGAGGCGGTCCAGCACGGCATGCTCCTCCTCGTCCACCGTGGCCATGGAGCGCTCCTTGTTGATCTTGTCGATGTCGATCTGCTCCTCACCCTCCAGGATGGCATTCCACCAGTACTCGTCCCCCTTGTTCAGGCTGATCTGGGGATGAGGTGTGGGTCAGAGGAGAGCGGCGAGAGGAACCCCCGTCCTGCCCCTGGGATGTGTTACCCCCCGCCCGCCCCACACCTCCGTGACAGCGATGCTGTGCGCTCGGCCGTGCCCGTGTGTCGCTCCCCAGCGTGGCTG